ACTTTTCGCCAAATTTAAAGTCCGCGAAATTAGCCGAACTAAAAGGCGAGACACAGAAGGAGAAGCGCGAAAAACTGTTTTGCTAGATCAAATGGTTTAGGCATTTACTATTAAATAACCGTTTTACAAAAAATATACGATACACATAAGGATTTTGTCTAAAGAATGTGCTAATTTGTTACACGATAGGATGTACTTCGCCCGACCATGTAAAACCCTGTAAACAGGCTAAAATAAAAGTGTAAAACGAATTATTTAAGAATAAAATGTCAAACTTTGCACACTTGAATTTAATAAAATTCACATCCCAAAATTTTAAAATTGCCCAGCAGAACGCACTGCGCCGCCCGCTGACGCGTCAGTCGCCATCGGTCGCTTGTCGACTTCGGATCGTGTAAAATTTTCTCCGCCTGTTCTTATTTTATTCATATTAATTTTCAGAACGCGGGTTGCGGGACGCGAGGATGCGGGATGCGGTAGGGGCGGTCCCCCTCACCTCGCCTCCAAAAATTGTAGGCTCGCGATGACTTATCTCGTCTTAGAGACAGCTGATATCACAGATGGGCAGGTCTTCTCCTTTCACTTTCATTTCGTTTGAGCTAGGTACATAACAGGTATGTATTCTTTACCAGTGGTACTTACATTTGCTTAGTCCAGTATGGTACTGTATGAAGGCGAGCTTTTATTTTTCCAATCTGTGTACCGTTTAGGTTCTCGGATTTTTCTCATAGAAAAGTTTAAGGAGACTGGTATCATGATTGTGGCGTCACAGTACATTTACTAAAATATTTTGTATGTGCGTAAAAATATACATAATTTCGTTAAGAAAGAAGATACCCATAATATTAACCATAGAACTAAGTCCAAACTCATGGTATCACGATTTCGTTTAACTAAGGTAAACGATTATTTTATGGGGAACTGTGTACGTTTTTACAATCAGATTCCGGAGCATATATTAAGATTACCATTTTCTAAGTTCAAAACTTATCTACATTAAAAGTATTTTAATTGAAAAGTCATATTACAAAATTGTGACTACGTGTTAGATAAAGATGTATGGAAAGGCAACATGAGTCTAGATTCCACACAAATATAATTCAAAATGTATTCTATAGCATTTAAGTTTATTTGAAAAGAGCAAGCCCTAGAATTTCTTGCTCGTTCTTCTTAGGCAGGTCAGCGAAGTGAACGAGCATTAGAAAAAATTACGTTTTCAAACGTTATAATTTAACCTATGGAATAAATTATTATTTGATTTTGACTTTGACTCAATCTAAGTAATAAGCATATAAATAATGAAAGTTTTAGTAAACGTACGGACGTTGCCAATGTAGTTAGTTAAAATAAAATTGTATCCAGATATTCTTGATTAAACGTAGAAAACTGCAGTTCTTTTGTACCTCAACCTTACTCAAAGTAACGATAACGATAGTTCTATTAAAATTTCGGAGTCATACACTATCTTGGAATAAGATAACGTAGTCTACCTAAATTCATTGCCACAATAACGTGGCACTCGAGTGATAAAGTGACGTAGTTTATAGGGATCCCTCAAATGTCTTACCTGTATACAGACGTGACATTAAGTCCTCTGCAGTGCTGTTTCTTAAATTACGCCTTTTCATTTTATAACTATATTTTAATTATAAAATAACACACAATTCCAGTACTGTGTGTTCAAACAAAGACAATAATTATGTACAAATGCCGTTGTTTAAACGCCAATTATATAACATTACATAAATTACAGGTTTATTTAGAACATTTGTCTGAAACAGGACTTATTCTATGATACTTATAACAGCCTCTCTAGCTAAAGATTAATTTTGCTCCCAGATGGTGCTGATATTACCTACCTGCTTCAAGCTTTCTTACTTTATACATAACTATTTTGGACGAGATGCACATAAATCTTTAAAATCCTATTAAAATTACAATGTTAGTTACTTAGTTTTCACTTGCAACAAACAGCTTTTAACGAGAAAGACATATTTTCGCCTATTTATTCTTCGCCTCGCCTATTCATTTGAACCGTATTGTACTAAGTTTTTATTGTGTTTTATAATTATTTGTACAAAATCGTAAAAGTTTTCTATTGTTTAGTAATTAGTAAACTTCTAAATACTCTTAGGTTTGATCATTTAAAATTCAAAAAGCATATAGAACATTTAAGTACCATCAGTGATTAAGTACTATAGAATTAAAACAAGGGCCTCGATTTAATGTTTAGAGCGGGCAGTCAATTGCTGCGGAAATCGTATATCTCCGTAAAGATGCGCCCTGTTAGATAAACGCCACACTTAATACCCTTTCCAAGGATTTAACCGACATTATTCCTGCCATTTTTTGTTCCTTTTCCAACACCTTTTACTGTTTAGAAAACACTTTAAAGCTTTCCTAAAAACTTGTATTTGGAACGTGACTTGAGAGGTTTAAAAACATTTTGCGTAGTAAGATATTCTTGCCGTCTTTGTTAGTGTGGTAGGTTTACGTAATATTTTTATTATACATTTAGTTATTTTATATTTTTTATTGTACTAAACAAAAACAAACGAATTACGAATTATATAAAATGTGGACTTATCTATAAAAGAGATCGCTTCCAGCCAACCCAAGGCAGCGAGAGCTAAAGTCATATAATATAGCCTCGCACTCATTGACCTGTATGCTCGCACTAAAAAAACATGTGTCGCGGGTGCCATGTGCCATACCACTCATATACAACCACAAATGACACCCAAACTCACAAGAGAAATAAATGTAGGCCATACAAATATTTCTCCCAGTATGAGACACGAACCCAAGACCTCTGCGTGGCAGTCCAGCATGGTAAACTTCTTGGCCGAACAAGAAGGCAGTTATATAAGCGGGCAACAGCGTGCAAGTTACTTTTAAGCTATAAAACCTGATGCAAAATCAAACCAATATCGCCCTGCACATAGTTCCCGTGCCCCCATATGGAAACTTGTAACATACACGAAGTTGTCAGGACACGGAACGCAAGTCTACTACGAAAGGTGCTACAAGTCGCTGAAGTTGGTCAACTAATCCAAGTTTTCCTTTACGGGCTAATGAGACGAGTTTGATTCGAATTCCCCAAGCTACGGGCCAGGAAATGGCTACCCGCTTTGAATACACGTTTTCACGTGGCTTCGAACTTTGCAGAGTTTCCTCCGAACGTTAGTGTACGACAAAATTATTATGATATTTTAATTTTAAATATCGCGTAAAGTTTATACCTGTAAAACTAAAATACTAACTAACTATACTAACTTATACCTTAGGAAACTTTATTGTCCGCTTCTAAATTCTAGAAATATTAGCGTAGTCACGTTTTCTTTTTATTGTTAATTAACTTTCAAACCCTTAAATATCTTGCTTAAGTTGTTGTAGAGACTCCCCAGGCTTATTGAACTGAGAGTAGACAAACAAAAGCGTCTGGCCTCCGCAATGGAAATTACATACCCCCGAGGTCGGAAATCAAATTGACAGAAGAGGTTAAACAAACGATGCGGTTAGGGAGCCGAGACCGTGGTCCGTCGAATATTAATCTGTGGGTAAATGCGCTTTTATTTGTTTTTCTGTTCTTCGCCTTCGTATCGCCTAACGATAGCTCTGTATTGTAAAGGGAAAGTCGATTTGAAGAAACTTTCGTCAAGTCAAAAGAACGCACTAGTCTACCAAGCTATTTTATGAAGGTCGTTGAGTAATTTCTCTTTTCCGGAAACCCTAAGCATCAGCGCCTCAACCTAGATATATTCAAAAAAATTGTACAAAATGTGTATGGAATTCTAGGGAATAAGATTCATGTAATTCGATTTTATACTACTGCAGCCAAGCCACCGTACTTTATTTTATTTTGAACTGACCCACTGTAATGTACTGCTGACGTATATGATGTACGTGTATTATTTGCGCATGTATGTACTACCATTAATTTAAAAAAAGAATTTGTGGCATTGCTCCGGAGAATTCTTTGAAGCCACGCCACCTACAATTAATAATTCTAGATGTCATTTTATCTATTTTTCGTAATTTAACCAACGTACAATCTAATTAAGTTACTAATTTTATTTTTATTTAGATTTGGAACTAAGATTTTATAAATTATTGTAATGTAAATTCTTACTTCTAAATGTCTCTTCAGATCGTTTCATAAAATGTTCAATTGGAGCGTTTTTTTTTAAATTTAGTTCATAGAGTTCGTTATATCATGGAGTTTTGAACTCTATGCAAAAGCTTTTGGTTGCCATAAAAGCATTCCACAGAGTAATTTATTGTAGAAGGTATGTTACTGATATGAAATAAATCCCCCAGGGAATTCAAATGGACGAAGGGGAAATTTATAATTATGGAACACTTATTAAATTATTTGTACTTTTTTCCGCACACATAGCCCCGCACTAAGGAACCCGTGTGTCGCGGGTGCCATGGACACATAGACAGCCACAAATTACACCGAAGCAAGAAGCTTTACGTGGCAGTCCGGCGTGGTAACGGCTCGGCTACAGAGGCAGTTATTTATATAACATTTACGGGGTGTATTTAAGCGCAAAGTTAGGCGTCAAATAATAAACACCAAAGAAGAACTAAAACGCCTCCTGGCCGAAGAATGGTTGGCTAAATGTCCTGAAGACTGTAAAAAACTCAGTTCTTGCAATTCTTCTTCTTCGTCTTCTAAAATTGCATCTTTAAGTGTTAATTATACATGGCGTAGCTACAGACAATTGTCCGTAGCAACGCCACACTGCTACGTTGCGTACGTCGTATAGTTCAGCAGTACATTACAGTGGGTTAATTCAAAATAATAATAAAAATGAGCATTATTATTTAAATACATTATTATATTACTATATTAATATATTATTATTCAAATAAGACAATAAAATTACAACTACATCATTTTAATATTATAAAACGACGTATCATTATGAAATGCTATCAATATCAAAATTACAATAAATCGTTAAAATAGGGTAACAATAATAACAATTAAATAAATTAAATAAAAGAATTGAAATAGACAGAAAAAAGGATTCGAAATGTTTATGTTTTGAACCATTCGCCGCCATAAAACACGGTAACTCATTTGAAGATATATTTTTCCTATGCCTTTACTTAGCACTATGGTGCTTCACGTCGATTGAGAATATAATGTGGAATCGGAGAAAGTACTTGCTAACAAATGTTTTTCATATAACCGTGTACACAGCAAAATGAGCTGAAAATAATAATCTCGTTTAAATTTTGTACATAACAAACCAATACTTTAGTTTGCAAGAAAGCAGCTGTCTACTTAGACACCATGGCGCTGATAATCTTCTCAGTGATCGACATGCTGGTTATAGCCGTAATTAATCTACTAGTGCATACTACACATTCATGGGATGAGACAGTCGAGAAATACGGTAAACCACTTGGCGTATCTTTCGATATTTCAAAGTCTTTTTGACAAAATCTGATGATATGAATGATTGCCTGTTAAACTTCCAGCTACAGCATTCCTGCTCGCTTATGCACGTGAATAGCGATTTCCTGAAGAACACGGTAATTCGTATTGTTGTAAATAGCTACTGGTCTGCTCTTCACGGTAATAATGCCGATGTACCGATAAAAGTAGCCTGTTTGTCGGTTTTCTGTCGGATACATTTTGAAGAGTGTACACAGGAACTTCATAATCTAGGTCCACCTCACCGTTTCTCCATCAGTCTATTAGAAAGTCCGGAACACACTATGCTTATGTCATTATCTTACCACTCATTACCACGAAGCGCTTTGCTTCGTCCTTCCTAATGCGTACGGCAAAGAAATGGAATACACTTCCGGAATCTGTTTCCCGAAAGCTACAATTTAGGGCTATTGAAGGCTACAGTGAATGGGCATTTACTAGACAAACGCGTAACATTGTCGGCCATGTCGTTCCTTAACATCACGTGTGATTGTAGCCAAGCGTTCGTATGTTGGATATAAAAAAAGAAACCTTTGTCAAAACGTTATGGACACAGTAGAAGTTGAACTTCGAGAAATGACACACAGATGAATCGCCAAAATTAAAGTTACAATGGTTCACATATAATGAAAGTGTCCTCTATTAAATAATCCCTACAGCACGATTACATATAAAAAAGTACATGCATTATACAGTAAAATATTTTTCTTAAACGGCTCATTCACTACCTGTATGGCAGTCCGCCGAGCAGGCAGGAGACTGCTATGCATATGGCCCACGTATGGAGTCTCGCAGGATGCACTATAGGATTGCAGGATGGCTTCCACGCTGCGACTATATTCATAAATAGTATTGCGCGGCGGACGGCAAGGCGGACTGCCATGCAGGATAATGAATGCCCCCTTTTTATCAGACTGCTATGCATATGGCCCACATTTGGAGTCTCGCAGGACGCATTACAAGGTTGCAGGATGGTTTCCACGCTGCGACTATACTCACAATCAGCATTGAGCGGCGGACGGCAAGGCGGACTGCCATGCAGGATAATGAATGTCCCCTTTTTATTCTATTATCATTATATTTCAAGATAAATAAAATTATTTTTTATTTACCTTTCTGTGATTATCTTGTACGATTTTGTTATACCTCTTTAGTTCGGCCTGTACGTAAACATTATCTTCGAGCAAAGTATTTATTTTCCAATGTTCACCATAAATCGCCAATGGGAAAATGTAAGGAAGTCCTGAACGTACAGAAAAGTTGGAACACTATCAGTGGAAAACGTTAGGACCGTATTAACTGTATATGTTACATAATGAATATAAGTAGAAAATGGAATCGTCAAGTAAGTATGTTGTGATCTTACTTGACGTGTAAATGTCAAATAATTTTACTATTATGCGATTCTATAAACAACTTTATATAATAATAATAATGTTTACGTTAATTCTAACGATCTTATTTCTACAACTGAGTAGTCTAGCCTCCTAGCCATCAACTTGAAAGCTGTATAACGTCAAATAATAAAACATTGAAGCTTATAAAATGGATTTTTAACAAAAATTTCATTGGTTTCGAAGAATTGACGTAAACGTTAGAGGGTAAGTCAATTAAAGCATAAAAGTGATCGAGAAATAGTCTCACTCGATCGCCAGACGTCAACGAACCTAGATATTTCAAATATAGGTGAATTGTTACTGATGTATAGTCGACCTCAAATACGTTCTCGCACATTAGATAAGTAAAATTATACCTGCTGCATACCCTTTATAGTATCAAAAGATCCATCACTAATCACACCCACACTGCGATGAAAAGGTACTTGAGACTTGTTTGCACCAGCTCTCCAAAGGGCGCCTAGGAGTTTTTTATATCTGGTCGATTTGAAAATTGGCCCATACAATTTTTTTGCAGTCAATAATTTGATCTAATAACATATCAACACAATGTTATTTACAACTCTTGTAAGGCCTATAGACATTGACCTACCAATAAATGGACGTCGTCGCACTATAGTTCGATTAGAACAAGCTAGCTGGACAAAAGTCATCATCGAATTTCCCGGAAAATGTTTACTAATATGATAGATAAAACCCACGAACCTCGAATTCCAAGAATTTAATTACACTGGGAGTCACGGTAATTAAGGGAAGCAGCAATAGCAATTTTGCATTTAACGCGAATACATATGACAGTGATTTGAATAGTAGTTTTAGTTGGTTTTAATTATCGAATTGGAAGGCAAAGGTATGTACTATCTTAATTTATAAAACAATGTGACAAGCTACTGCCTTTTTTTTAAGCAATCCCAAATTTAAATTTAACCATTTTTTCGTGGTTTTTTATATATTTAGGATCCGGAAAGTATTGCCAAGGTGCGTCACAGACCTAAAACTAACATATATGGTGCCTTAAACTCTCTTCTTTTCAATAGTAATAAATCTAGGCGACGGACTGCTGTGGAACATATTTTTTTTTCTAAAGCACCTCTGCGCAATCTCCAAATTCCAACTTTTTGAGCAGTGCCTAAAACATGCCAAAGAAAACCGGAATCTATCTTCTATCTATCTACTATCTTCAAAATATGACTTCTCCGGTATCACCGAAGATTCTTCAAGGGCGCTAAAGAAGACAATCAGCGCATTTAATTCAAATTTAGAAAAAAAAATGTACAAAAAGGGCGGCGACAACTTTTGAAAAAAAAATGAAGAGTGGACGTCAATAGACTTCATCTTTAAAGTGTCCCTTTGCCACGCAAAGCCATCTTCATCCACTGCACCTTCAACTCCTGGACGTCCAAGCAAAGAGTTTGAAGAGTCCAGTGATAAAACGAAAAGGCAAGGAGTTGAGGATCTGCTCAGTACCCGCCGCACTAATCAGTTTGCGGCTACAGCAGAATTTTCAGTGCGACTGTCTGGGCACCGGAACTTGGCTGCTGTCATTAAAGAAAGTCCCGAAAAATGCAAAGCCATGAAAGCTACTGTCAGTGATAGTGAAAACAACAATCGAAGGTGCTTAACAAGCAAAGGTGGCTTTGGCATATTACAAGCCACGCCTACAAGCAAACGCGGAAGTGAAGTATGAAAGCAGGTCATAAGGTATTTCCATCAATGTATATAGTCTTAGGAAAGCAAGGTGGAATATTTTCTTCCTGTAGAAGATTTACTTGTGGATGAAATTCGTGCAGAAATTAAACTTCAAACTGTTTTAAATAAAACAGTTGATTGTATAATGAATGCGCAGCATGAAGTTCTTAAATCTTCTTCTTTAGAGGCACCATTCACTCACTTTAAGCAAGCGGGGTTGGGGGGCAGTTCCAGTGACAGCACCTACAAACAAAAATTCACCAGTAATGAAACCACTGATGAATATTTATTTGTGTTTTCTGTAAATCGAATTCAAGGTACTAACAGTCCTTATGTTAGCATGCATGACTACGAGTATACTGAAATTGATTCTTCGAAAGAAGAAATTTGCGATACCGAGAATTAGCAAATAGTATTAATTAATTATGGACAATTAGAGAATTATAAAGTATTACTTAATTATAATAAGTATTAGTTGATTAGTTAATCGTTAATTTGTGCTTACAGCTTATTTGGCACTACTTGAATATACTTGTTGTTTTTTTTTATACTTTTTACTTAAATGAGAAAAGGATTTTTTTATCTAACCATAATACCACCACTCACTCTCCCCCCTCAAATTGGGTCCCATGACCTCAAAATTGAATTAAGTAGTCATAATAGGTAATAAGAAAACCCCATGAACCAAAAAATCTCAATAAATATTTTTGTCCAGCAAGCATGTTCTGAGCGGATCATAGCGCGTCGGGTCCGCGCTAAAAGGTGTCCGGTGTCGGCGCACTTGTCAATCATGCCGTCCTGTATAATAAAAACTTATAGAAATAACATGCAAATTACAAAAGCAATCGAAATAATCAAATAGTTAAGTGTTGTGAGTAATAATATATATATTTACAAAAATTATATAAATGTGAAAATAACTGTTTTTCTGTTAGTTACGGTGTTTTATAAGAAATGTATTGATGTTTTGAATTTTTAGTTTACAACTAATCTTAAACTCCATTTATTGGTAGCTCAATGCCTATAGATTAAAACAGTTTAATAAATACACTTTTTCTACTCCTATACTTTAATCTGTCAATTATAATTTTATAAACCATATCACACAGGCGTCTTTTTCGTTCTGATTCAAAGTTCTATTGTCTATGGTACTCGCTACTGAACTGAAATAGTTATGCGATAAGCAAGGCTGCAAAGTTGTTTGATGCGAGTGCTTGTATTGCAACCTGAGCAAGTGAAGGATGCTTAGATAAAAATATAGAATCCTGAACGCAACGAGGGTTTCAAGGCACGAGACGCAATTCGCTCGTGGTTCAAAAATAGAATTCAGAGCATAGGAAGGGTTTCAAGCCACGAGACGCAAAACAACTTTGCTGTCGAGCGAAACACACAACCTCACTATAGCGAGAATAATGGTAGATGAAAGAAAAATAGTTGAACTGTAAAAAATCAGTTTTTTCCTACATCGAAAGAAAAAGTTAGGTGCATCACAATCCATTGTCAAGTTCGAATTTCAATAACCTTTTCCATTAGCTAGCTAGCGTGGAAAAAACGCTTTTGCGCGCAGATTTTTAATGAAAAAGAAAGCCTTTTCGAGCTAGTGAGGTGAAATAGTTCTTTGTTTATTAAGGGCGGTAAATAAGAAATGTAAAAAAAAAATACTTTTATTTAGGTTTTCGCGATTGTTACACATAGGAAATGAAACTATTTTTCCGGATTTAAATCGCGTATATTTGTTTTTTTTTTTTTTTCAAACAAACCGACGTTTCAGTCAACCGTGACCATGGGACCTGTAAAAGGCCCGAAACGTCGCGTCGGTTTGTTTGAAAAAACAAATATACGCGATTTAAATCCGGAAAAATAGTTTCATTTCCTAAAAAACTTTTTGCTTAATCTTGACGTAAAAAATCCATCCATCATTCGTCGTAAAAATTCATCCTCATCAAGGGTAATGTAATGACAAAGCCCGTGGGCATAATTTAGGGCGTTAGTGTCGACTTTGCCTGCATGTCATGACACTGTTTACGAGCGTGATGAAAAGGGAAAAATTTCATATAGTTCTGTACACAGGAACGTCAGTCGTATTTTTGCTAATTGAAATATCAAATATGATGCTTCTCAAACGCTCTGCCTCCGATTGGTTTAATTCGCCTAAAGGCTTGCAACCGGACCATAAACCTTCATAAAAAAATGATTGGTTAACATATTTAATAAGCGGCCACATCTATTCTATCTCTTTGGTTTTTGTTTTGTAGCGTTTGAGTTTGTTGTCATGGATTGTTAACAAGATATACCAGGGCGTTCAATGTATTCTCGGTATCGGGGTGATTAACTAATGATAAGAGTAAATTAATTACCTCATTAGTTAAAGACACTCTTTAAGGGTATAAATATAAAATTTCATGTAATTGTCATCATTAGTATTCAAGTTATCAATACGAGAAGACAACTACAATGACAGACGCCACAATGTTGACGAAAATCGAGCACCGCGCAGTGATTAAATTCCTTACAAAACAAGGAAAGACTCAAAAAGTTATTCATGAAGAAATGGTGGCTGTTTATCAAGATTCCGCTCCTTCATTATCTACTATTCAGAAGTGGTCTAGTGAATTTAAACGGGGTAGAGAAAGTATTGAAGACGACCCCCGTGCTGGAGGGCCGGTAAGTGCCACTTCTGAAGAAAACGTCAAAATTGTCGAGAAACTTGTATTGGAAGATCAGAGTGAAAACATTAGCAGAAAAGACTAAGCTATCCGTGGGTACCATTCACACTATCCTTCATGAACATCTGAATCTTTCAAAAGTCAGTGCAAGATGGGTGCCGCGAATGCTCACGCCGCTTCAGAAACAAGTTCGAGTTGAGTGCAGTAAGGGGTTTTTGGAGCTCTGTAGCGAAAATCCGAGTGGAATTTTTGAACGCATTGTCACCGGTGATGAAACGTGGATTCATCACTATGATCCTGAGAGTAAGCAAGACTCCATGCAGTGGCATAAAAAAGGAACAGACCCACCGAAGAAGTTTAAAGTCTGCCCATCAGCCGCAAAACTCATGGCCACAGTGTTTTGGGATTTTAAGGGAATTTTTCTGATCGAATACACAAAAATGGGTCAAAGTATTACTGCCGCAGCTTACGCAAACAGCCTACGTAATTTAAAGAACGCTATAAAGGAAAAAAGACCTGGAAAATTGACCGCTGGTGTCTTGCTTCTTCACGACAACGCGCCGGTTCACACAGGGCGCGTTGCCAAGGCTGCTGTGAGGGATTGTGGATTTGAAGAAATCACTCATCCACCCTACAGCCCTGACCTGGCCCCCAGTGATTACTTTTTGTTCCCAAACCTAAAGAAAGATCTTCGGCGTAAGCATTTTTCCGACGATGAAGAGTTGAAGGAGGCAATTAATGAAAATTTTTCAGGCAAAGAGGAAAAATATTTTTTCGAGGGCATCGAAAAGTTATTTGCCCGATCAAATAAGTGTTATTGAGGCTATGGGAGACTATATTGAAAAATAAATTTTATTTAGAATTTTTTGCCTATTATTTCATACCTATACCGAGAATACATTGAACGCCCCTCGTACACATTAAATAATGCTTGTTTCATTCTTTTGTTTCCTCGTAGAAAAAGTATTGTATGCCAAACATTACATAATTCACCTATTACTTAGGCCACTAGGTTTTCGACTTTAAGAACCTTTATTATGCAACGATTGCATAAAATACTATTGAGCAATTTATATGTGATTTATTAAGATCAGTGAAACTTATATTAAATCATAGGTAATATTAATATATCAGCCAAACCTTTTCAACAAATTCTTTTCTCAGCCAAGAAGGACTGAACTGTGTATAATCCAGGCCGAATGTCGCCATTAGTTTCTCACTTACAACATCCCAACCACATGTCCCTCCAACAGCGTCATCCCATGGTATTAGTGGTCTTTCAAATTCAAAGTAAAACTCTTGATCGTTCGCTCCAAAAACATGGATGTTTCCCAACTTGTTCCCGAGAATCTTAAAAGTTTTTAAGTAGTTATTAAAAAAGTAAAACAACGAGGGTATAAATAATAATAGCTCTTTGCGGCATTTGAAGTCTTCATTTGGAAAATACAATATAAAGGCGAGATAACAAAATCCATATAGGATTATTTGTATAATACTAACAACCTCGCGCCTCGAAGGACTATATCACTAACATCATAACAACTTTTGTACCATGACTTTTAATAATTCATCAGATTTTACTTCCGTACAAAAATAGAAATATCTAAATAGTTCGGTCCAAACGGTTATAACTTTGTACAAAATACAGGACAGGGTTGGGAGTCGTCAGAGAGAGCGCTTGCACGTTTGAACTTGCTACCAAATACAGATCTATCAGACTTATTATGTTTTGTCAAAAGTTGTTGCCTATAGTTAGTCATGTAGTCCTGCAAGGTTGTTAGTATTTGAAAGTAACCTTGTATGACAGGATACCCAAGAAATTGACGCTGAAATTTTACAAGATTATCAGCAAACCTTTTTTCATATGTAGAGTATTGAGAATTATTTTTAACCGACTTCAAAAAAAGAAGATGCTCAATAAAACTACATTTTTTATTTGTGGACCGGTTTCGATTATTCTTTTTTGTTGGAAAGTTGGTACCTCAGTAGTGGAGCCATTCAAATTTGAAGAAAATATTCCACCTCTATGGGTGGCAAATTAGGGGATGAATTTTATTGTAATCAGTTTATTGAATTTCACCCATAAAAGGAGGAGGTTCTATGTTCGACTGTACGTATTTTTGATGTATGTTCACCGATTTCTCCGTTTGTGGACCGATTTTGAAAATTATTTTTTTGTTTGAAGGGTATACTCTCCTAATGGGACCCATTGTCACAAAGTTAGAATCTGATGAGGGGATCCCATGGAAATCGAAGGAAATCCTCAAATTTTATGGGCATGTACAGTGTGTTTATTGAACTGTAACAAATCAAAGGTTCTCGGATAGACGTGGACGTGCAAGACAATCGTCTTCATCTTTTAATTTCCCGTAATGATCTAACGGAACGAGCAGATCCCACACTGATGATGGTAAATGATTATAATTGTCGAAAACGCTTGTAATGGGCCTATTTGAATAAACATATTTGACTTTGACTTATCAGTTCTTGTTGCCTCAATATTACGATGTCTCTTTGAGTTTAGCCTCTGAATACGTTGCTTCGGAGTCTCGTTCAAACAGTCGAATAACATTTAGTCGATATTCGCGCTGTTCAGTCGACTCTCGTGATAATCGAGAACGCTACATGCTTTCTTTTTTTTATTTCTCGTCGGAGATTATGTCGCTTGACGAACTAGTGGTGTTTCTTGGGAACACGTTATGGCATTTCGCTTGAAAATCCTTGATATTCATTCCTTATTGTCTTGAATTGAATACTTTTCTCTATTCCTTTTTGCCCTCATGTGGACTGCACCTTTAGTACGCCTGCCCATAACGCTAAGTTAGAGACAATTGAATTAGTACCTATAGGTACTTACCTAAACACTACATAACTTACCTGCCTATAATTACTAAAAATAGAAAAATAAACCAACAACAAATGAACCAACTTCAAAAAGACAAAGTCAATTAAAAGCGAAAAATACAAAATACAGATATTTAATCTAAACGACAACAATGCACGCAACACTTTATTTACTTTTTCTTATTTCGTTACTTACACAGTATTATAATTACTTATGAATCAATCTATCTACATTCATGGTTTATTTATACTATTACAACGTGACAATTCTTGTCCAAACCTATAATTTTAATATAATATTATTATTGGTATGAGTTACCCACTGATCGGTTTGAAGTTTTAGTTGACCACTAAAACAATTATTAATATTTAAATATTTACAATATCTCAAATAACTAATATCAGTTCTCTTTGTCAATTCTCGTTATCAGGTATTTCTTTGTTTTTCTTGCCTTGCCTGGCACCGACACAACAAAGCACCCACTTAGGTAATACGCTATTCCTAGCATTTATCAAGGATCTGCCATACTTTATATCAGCGGGGTTGATGGTTCTAATTGTGGACGACACAACCGTTGTACTGTTAATTAATCTGTGGTTGTAGTGTGTGCTACAAACTATAAGTTCTAAGAAAAAATTGCCTACACGTACACGCTTATTCTTAAATCACATCAAAGTCGAAGCTTATATTGTTCACAGGAAGAAATTCTATAACATGGCCAATTACCACTTCTCTAGTTCCATTGTGCAACACTTGTAAATTCTTGGGTTTCCACATGGCTTCCACACTTAAACTCAAATTAACTAAAAAGCACATATACAATCCTTGTGTGAAAAACTTGGTAGTGCTACATAGATACACACTAAAGAAAGTGCGTCCTCTTATTTCCAGTGTGGTATTGGGGCAGACATACTTTGCATATTTTCATTCGTCTATGTTATACGGCATCGCACTATGGGGTAATTCAACCGAGTCGAATAAGGGCTCTTATACATAAGCACGATACGACGTCGCGTCGTAGCACGACGATATCGTATCGTGTTTATGTGTAATAGCCCTAGTGTTTATTCTTCAAAAACGTGCACTAAGGACTTATAGTTCCTTATAAGGAGGATGTACTCACAATATATTTTTGATACAATAGTTTAAGCACGTAAAACTTAAGCACTTATGACCAACGTACGGACGGGACCGTGGGAAAACCCACCATACCGACCACGCAACGAGAAATCCGCGTGTAATAATACGTCCGTCCCCGATTATATGAACATCTACCAACAAACCTGAAGTGTTATAAACGACAAAACGTTTTACACCCGCTAAACCTCTTGAATTGGATAATGAATTCTACAGAGTCAATGAGTTTCTTGTGAAACAATTGTAGGTAATTTTGTTTTATTCGACTTCGTTGTATTTCGACAGGCAGTAGTTAGTCAGGCAAAATCATGTGACATGTGCACACAACAATGAAAGTTCTCTGTATCTATCGGGCTACATTTTCTTTTGTTTACATAATGGCTATTAGACATAGGTTTGAGAATAATTTAGGTAAATCTGAGTTACCTATACAATTTTGGACCGCTGTAAATGGATCAGCTTGTATGTATATACATATTTATTTAATTTCATGCATGCATTTTTTAATTTCTATACAAAAGTATAAATTAATCGGTACTCCTATCACCCATGCATATTTACCTAATTTTAAGGAAACCTATTTCGATATAAACTGGCAATACATACGGATTTACGTCAAGGTTTTGTGTTCCGAGTGAATCTCAAAAAATATTGGGTAAATAAATTACAAAATAGTTAAATAACCAATAGTTCCCTGTAAAAAGATATTCCATCTTGTATACGGAGACAAAATGGCATTTTTAAATATAACTAATCACTCGTGACGTACAAACAATGCGACGCTATGCTTAGTACTGTAGCGTTTTCAGTTGTTAGGCACCAATAAATTAGTCGACACTACACAATTTAAGCGGTTTATTGGTAAGCACTTAAAGCGAGTATGCTAATAAACTACAGAGTCATACGTCTATGGCACTATTTGGTAAATACAGCTCAATTAGCGGAAGCCGGTAGGTACAACAGCAAGCAAGCGGCGACGCGGGATTCACTTCGTAGATCTTATGAGCGACTGGCTGCCGCTGCGCAGGAATGCGGTGTGTCCGGCCGGCTTACGCGAAACAATAGCGTGGGTTAATATGAGAGGTAAGTTGAAATTTGCATTAATATTTTTAGACAATTTAGTTTTCATTTTAATTATAGTTACTTAGATTTTATTCTTATTTATTTTATTTGTTAGATGTAAATAAAATATTTATATGTATGATTATATAGTATAAGTTACGTAATTATTACAATATTTAGTTTTAGTGTTAGATTAGGTACTAATTAGTTTTAAGTTCTTTTTCAGGTACAGTTCGTGGTCTGCCACAGTACTGACACGAGTTTATATTCGCTTTTGAATTTGTATTTGCTTTGATGGCTTCACTTTCGTGTTCGGCGCGCTCCATCTGCCTTTATTTTGTAATCTTTGCTTGTGACATTAATAATATGAAATAAATGATTATATTCTATGTACAAAACTCAAAATTAATGATTCTATTCTATACACAATGTTCAGAAAAGGTTAGGGTGATCCACGCTCCATTTTCTTTTTTATTTTGTAGAAACCGCCAAGGTCGCATTACACAGACGGCAGTACATCAAGTTACTCATTGACGGATCTAGTTTTGTTGTACTTCAGGCGATATTCGAAAAATATACATATATATATATATATATATATACATACATTATATATACATTTTTTAAATAAAAAGTAACCATAGGAAATATATGCGG